ATAAAGGAATAAACAGAACTTTGCATAAATAGCTTCGTGATTTATTTGTTAATACTCGGTGGGACCTCTGGAAGGTCAAAGGACTTTATTTATGATCAATTTATTTCTATCTATCGTAGACTAGGATTTGCATGATCGTTCAGTATCTAGAGTGGATTATCCCTCATGATGCACTATTGATGTTTTCAAGCTCCTCGTAAACCTTCATCGAATCACGTCTCGCACGCAACTTCATATTCATGGCATGTCTGCCAACTGCACGGATCTAACAATACCAATAAAACAACAGCTGTGATATTAAAAATGAATTTATTACCACGTTTTTTGAACACTCTGTCGCTGAAGAGGCTGAAACAATAAAGAGTTGGTATTTTAAAATCAACGTGTTTTTTTGTCTGTCATAAAATTCGAAGTACGCAACCAATGCGGTAGTTTCCAACTAGTCAAATTCAATACTCTTATTGAAATGTCAAAAAAGATTATTTTCTATGAATTTTGTGTGAAACCGCAACATGTGACGTCACTATGTTTTGACGTAAAACCGCATACTTGTTTTTAAAAGTTAATAACTAGAATAAATCTAGAATTATGTATATCGTCAATTCAATGAATGAAAGTATGATTCCACTTTAATAATAATTGAAAAGTCAAAATAATTAATTATTGGAAACTACCCATTTCTTTTGCCATTCAAATAGGTGCTTATTGCTAATTACTGTTATGGCCTGACCTGGCCACCTTCACATAAGTACCCAATAAACTTATCTAGCAGATAGTTCATACAACTGATCATAAGAATAATCATGTACTTAACATTGTTTTTCTGATACATAGCGCTCATTTTGGACATTGCAAAACACATTTTTAATCACAAATAAAATAAATAAATAATCGATTTCGATTTTATTAAGATAATAAGAGCTAGTTTAAGTCTCTTATATTAACTTAAGCATGTGTTGCGATTTCGATATTTACCGAACGCTCCCGAATGTGCAAGAAATACAAACATTTAATTAATAGTTCCGATAGCTGAGTGGTCCATAGCGGGCACTGGGCAATGAGTGACTCAAGCACGCGAGCTTGGCCGCACGTTTTAAATCCACTTACTATCAGAATTGCTTACGGTCACACTATCCATAAGAACGGACAACATAATTTCACTCAATGTCTTCCGTTGTTCTATTTTCAACTGTTATAGCAACAATACTTTATTTTTAAAGGAATAAGACAACAAGAACATTTTTATATTTATTTCAAACAAAAGACGTACGAGGTGCTATCTAACTAGCTCCTCTCGCGCGGTTTCGCCCGCTGCTCGGCTCCATTTGATCGTAGCGTGATGTTTTAGCACCCAGGAACATTGTAGCTATCTATCAGTATCATAAAGAATTTTGGCCATCCGACCAGCGGTTCCTAAGATAATATAGTATTAGTATAGACAGTATACATTAATTTAAACTGACTGTCTATTTGGTCGTAATAAAAGGTTTTGACCCTCGAAACAGAAAGTAACATCAGCACGAAGTTCTAGAATTTGGTTCAGAGTACCTATGTTTTGCCTCTACTACATGTAAGTGTGAATTTTTGAGGAATGATGTCCAATAATATGTATAAATGACAAAAAAAAATACTTTGTCGGCGTGATTGATATGCGTATTGGTGCCAAATTACAGATTTCTAGCGCTAACAGTCACTAACATTATCCGCGGACGGACAGACAGACAGACATGGCGAAACTATAAGAGTTCCTAGTTTACTACGGAACCCTAAAAACTAATTTGTCCATAAAAAATCTAGCACTTAATTTGAATTGGTGCTGTTTTGGAATATTTCGGTTTTAACATTTAAGGAAATTTAGACCACAAGTTTGCAGCACCAGGGAGCAAAATTCTATGCACGTTATTATCATAATTTGAAGTCAGGTCTAGCTCACAGTGGTAATATTTCATTTGCTTTCTAAACTAAGATACCGTAAGCTATTCCCACATTGTTGTCTGTTGCAGAAATGAATTAATTACGAAGCTGAAGGTTGGAATAGATTCCTTTCGTATGAAAACCTGCTCCCATAAATCGAGTACGTGGTAATCTGGTACGTGTAGGCAAACCAAAGCTTTTATTTTCAAATCTAAGGGTTCTGTAATCCACTTCCAATGTGGACTGCACGCTGTGCCTAATTATGTTTGTAAATATAGTAAGCAGGTATCGCTAATAATATTGTTTTTCTAAGAAACAATAATTAATTTTTAACTTCTATTTCGTTACAACTAACACTAACCACTATTTCACTAGTTTTAGAATACTGTTTTATCCGAAGGCTATTATTACACAAGTACAAAGTAATAATAACAAACTATACATAAAACAGATTGTTACTATAAAAAATGTGGTTCCCCTAAAATACAATTAAGTTTGAGTCACAAAAATAATTATAAATATACTGAAGGTGATAAAAATATCTTTACAATGACACCGTTTAAATTTTGCTTATCCTGTTTATTTACACAACAAATTGAGAATTTGGATCGCAGCTATCGGCTTCTGATTTTTTTTCACAAATAGTGGGTAAGTGGTTACATTTAACAATTCTAAAAGTTTAATATAGACATTATTGAAGTTTTGTGGTTGTTTTGATTTGTATACATATTTATATATAAAAAGACGAAACAGGAAATTAAAATAAGTTATTCTCACAGTACAAACTAATAGGTATAAAGTGAAACATTTATGAAGTTAAGATGATTACAGTTTTTTTGGATTATCCTGGTCGGCTTTCGCCATTTTGTTTTCAATTAGTTCATATTCACAATTGTTTATTGCAATATGCAGATTCTATTACGCAACAGCCTCTATCCTAAACTGAAGTTACGAAATGAAGCTCGTAAAATATTTTATAGTGTTCCATCGGCACTGTAGTAAATTTCCATTTGGTGTTTATTTAGGATCTCTTTACAAATATGCCTTTCCATATCACACTGCAAAATTTGCTGACTGAGCGAATATAGTTAGAAACTATTTATTAACTTTTTACCACTTTCACTACGCGTTTTTAATTATGTTGTACCAATAAGGAATTTTATAATATCCTAGTTTTTGCGTGACAGAGTGGATAAACAGCGAGTGGCAGACTCTTGCTGACCGAAAACCACCCTGTTCCATCTTTTGCTCGAAGTCGGGTAGTACTTTATCATTGCGCTTGTAACGGATAGGAAAGGAGTTCAGAACCTCAACTACTTCAAGAAGGTAACATTACAAGTTTATAAGTATAATAGTTTAGTGTTTCGTGGTTTCTACTTTTGATCTTGGCTTTCAGGACTTATAGCGGTTTGAAGAAGTTAAGACGGGATTGTCATGCCCATTAAAAAAGTATACTTTCTATGCAATTGAGAGACAAACCTGTATCTATATTTGACCCAGGCGAGGTTGAGAAGGGCTTGTTCCATTAAGAAATGTGTATGTTTTGTGTGTGATAGGGAGACAAACAAGCTGACAGATTACCTGATGGTAAGCTGCAGCAATCGGCGCCGCCCATAGACATCCGCAACACCAGAGTAGTTCCAAATACGATGCTGGTCTTTTGGGGATTAGAGTTCGGAAATTCAGGATTGGGGGAGGCAAAAGTAACCTAACTCATATGGCTAACACGCACACACTGAAAAAACCACTGCGTTGTTGTTTCAGTGTGTGCGCGTCAATTCTCCATATACGTACACTTATAACTATGACTTCGAAACTGTGAACGGGTATAACAGAACAGACAGAGACAGTTAAAATGGAAAATTAATGGCGTTTCGATCAAAGCAAATTGGTGTTTCTAAAGTACAAACAGCATGCGGCACTCTGCACGTTGGTTGGCGAGTCGATTGTTTGACATCTCTTGCATACTAATGTCTACAAAATACAGAACAATATCATTCCGTCGATTGGTACCACGTTTTTCCTTATGGAAGTCACATCGACCTAGTTTCTGCTAAGTGCGCACCTTTTACACGTTTACCACAGTTTCCCAGCCCGAACTTAGCTAAAGATAACTTTGTTATTTGACGATACAATTTTCTCTGAAATATTTTTACTCTTCTACGTGATGTTTTTGTTTCTGTACCTGCATACCAAGTTTTCTGTGCTTTTAAACTTTCCTCCTACACTCATACTTAAAAGCATAGATTCATTTTTTAGAAAAAAATCGTACCTTCTTATCGAGTTTACCAATACCTGGAAAAAATCCAAAACTCCGTGATTTTTACTGAAAATATCGGAATGGAAAAACATATTACTTTGCTTGACTAGCTATCGTTATTTTTTATTATATTCTTTTTCTAATTTTGTTTGTGAGAGCTCTAATAATGTTATTGGTTTGATTTTAAAAATTGCTATTGCGACGCCGCCCTGGTAATCATTCTAATACCATTTATACTTTTTATTCGGGTCCGATATAATTTATAAATTCCCTCCATTCGCTTTTCCAAATAGCTCTCAATCTGAAGAGTGGCGTGAAACAATATTGTTGTGGGCTATTAAACTGATTGGCTATTTTCATTATGTCATTTACCGGGTATTTGGAATATAGGTAGCTGCCAATATAATTATTAAATTACTTTCACGTCCATATTCTTGTGACTTTATTTAGTGATTATAATGAAAATCAAGGATAATGTAACAGTTCAAGCTCAGGTTCCAAATCGATCAGCGGCGCTCTATGTCCCTAAGCAATACGAACTTTCTCAAGAAATTTAGACAAGAAAAAAATGTGGCTATTGTTATAATAGTGTTGATTAACTAACAGATTGGAAAAAAACACACGTCTACTTTTTACTATTAAAACAATCCTTAAACTTTTACTTGAGTATTAGATGGCCAAAGTTAAAGAAAGCTGAAAAACAGCAATAGTTTTTATCCGTAAATTGATTTGCGATGTCGTCGCTCCCTCCAGACTGAGACAGACGGGCATCGAGATAAAGTATGTCGTTTTGTGGAAAACCCGTCCTAAATATAGGCGCGGGATTATTTCTGAAGCATCGTGTCGCGCGCGCCGTGCTCCCGTCCAATACCAATCTAAACACATTACCGACACACCGCCCAAACTTTCAACGTTTATTACGGCAATGTTTTAAAACACTGATTAACTGTAAAGTTTAAAGTGATTACAACAGCAAAATGTAAACTCATTTAGTTTAATTGATAGTAAAATTGTTGCACGCGGCAATGTGATACGGTAGCGAGTGTTGTGATACTTATTCTTGGTGTTTATTTTAAAATGATGTGGTTGTGACATATTTTAACAAACATGTATGTGTTGGTGTTATTCCTCTCAGTGCTGTTACAATGCATTTGTGCACAGGAAAAATCTATTATCGGTTAGTTTTGAACTTATTTATTTACTTATTGTTTTTGTATTTATGTACGTTAGCACACGAGTGTACTTTAAACCATGTGACATTTAGTAGCCAATGCTCGGCAAATAACCTAATCAAGTATTAACAAACTAAAAGCTATGTATGAAAATACTTTTCAGTAACGAATAAGTGAATTCTAAAATGGATTCTTCTATCTCGTTTGTGTGTGATTGGTCACCAACGCAATACTTAGTATTGTACGAGGTACTCATTACTCAAGTCAATATCTAATACTGACTTACCTATCGAAATTAAGTATTGAGTTTTTCGATATCAAAAATAATTATTATATTAATATGACGTAGCTGTTTATGTTGTCGATATAAATGCTACCTAAATAATAAAAACAATTTGATAAATCGTAAAACGTTGTATGTTTCAGGAGGTATTTTTTATAAAGGCTCCGATGATATGAGAGTGGCGCTGGAAGTGAGCGCGAAAACCTTCAACTTTACAGCGTCCATTAAAGAAGTATCAGTTAGAGGGGAAATTTTGGAAGTAACCAAATATGTATGTGAACTCGCTGAGGTATGTACTTGAAACAATATTGATATTGTATGAAAAATCATTCTATCTTCATTTAATCCAATAAATATGTGTCAATGACGTAATATAATTAATGGGCTCTTAAAACTCATTTGGATTATTTACAAATTACTCATTCAATTTGACTCAAATCGTGTGTAAGTCAATGAGATCGTGCAATTGATATAATGTTCTTAGATTTTTAAATTATCTTGACTTCTTATCTTCTGTCTTAGTTCTGTTCATGGATGCGACAGTAAAACGCAACTTTTTACGACTTTTATTCAATTGTTCTTTTCTTTTTCATTGCCCACCTATTTTACATAGTTCGGGATAATTTCGGGTACAAAATGTCAAACTTTCTTTGTTTCATTTTAGATTCAAATTGAATTTTACCTTTTAGACAAAAATAATATAAGAAAGTTAGGATTTAGTGCAAGATACTTTGTTTGAATACTGTTAGTAACTTAGTCGATTATGGAAGATCTACCTTCGTATCGATCTATCGGGTAAACAGTGCTGAGTATTAAGATTTTGGATTCTGAAAAAAAGTATTTTATAAAATTTGAGTTTAAACCAAAGTTGTTTTATGTAACGATATAATACATAAATTCACAAAGGCATGGTCAATCCTCACTCAAACAACATTAAAAAGTTTCGTTGTTTAGCAAAAAAATAGATTTTTTAAATTTCCTTTTTGTATTCTCAGGAGATGAAATTTATAAATATAAGATTACGGCTATACCCTAGGGCGAAGATCATATTATTATTTTGCGAAAATAAACGCGCGACCGTGGAAAAAGTTTCTTAGCTTTTTCCTTTAAGCTGATTGGTTCGTTTCAAATGATAATGTAAAGTCGAAGACATCAATCATAACGTAGCTGCTGTTGTAATTAAATTGTAAACTGGTTGTTGATAATAGTTTAATAGGTCTTTCCACGGACAATATTTTGTGTGCTTAAACCAAAGTAGAATTAAGATGTCTACAATAAGAATGTATCTATTAAACCATTATCAACGATGTAATATGAGTATTTATTTCGAGTATTGTATGGAATAATTATAAAGAAATTTTAACATTGCCTAATAGATTAAAAACACCACTCGCTTCACCAGGCTTCATGCAAATTTGAACTATATATCATTATCAAAAATATAATAAAACTCTTTCTTTTTTCTAGGAAGGTGTGATCGGTATTATAGATGGGACTGGAGGACGGGCCAGTGAAAACATCCAGGCAATATGTGACATGTTGGAATTACCTCATGTCAGTATACAACACAACGACCTCTATAGTGAAAACTGGTCCGTGTTGAATATGCATCCCAGTCCTACTGCTTTTAATATGGTAATATTTTGAAATGGTTCCTCATTATCAATATCAGCATCATCATGCCAGTCACAATAATTAAGTTATTAGTAAATAGGTAAACAGAATATTATTGTGATTAAATGACAAAAAGAATATGAAATGAAAATATCAATGGCTATTTAGAACATCATAACACAATCTCGTTCGAAATATTTTTCTTTTCTGCCTGAAATTACCTGTGTTACCTATATTATTTTGCAAACACAAAAAGGTTAAATTAAAAAGAAAAACCTGCAACTGGCCATTCGAATTATCAAAATGACAAGATGCCATTAGCTTCTTTTTCTTTTTTTTAATTTAATAGTCTTTGTGATTTTTTACGTAAAATTGCCAGTATTTTAATGTTGTTAATAAAAAGACCAAAAAGTTTTTTATTATAATTAAAGACACCTAACTGTCCGCTCCAGCTGAAAATATTGTATAATGCCATTAGCGTATTTTTCTTTTTATGTATCTGCAAGCCTTTGAATTATTTTGGTAAAAAAGGGTTTTAAAATGAAATGGAATATAAGACATAATTTAAAATGTGTGTGTGCTTTGAGTAATTTTTTCCGAGAAGAAAAGTTGTAATGCTGTCAAAAAAAAATATACAAAAAAAGTTGTTTTTGTATAATTATGTGTACGTATTATCTCATAATTTGTCGAACCACCCATAAAATATTTTTTATCACCAAAATAAATATTTGAGAGGTTTTAAAATCTACTAAAGTATCTCTAGTAATTCTTATAGCACTGTAATAGTACTTACTGAATTTATTTTTTTGGTCATTTCCTCACGTGTTGGCTGAATCATGGTTAACAGCTGTTCTACTTTAAACGTTCGCTTCTCAGTTCTTTTGAGATTGTGATTGTTGAAAAGAATATTTTTGTCTGCACTTACATCAAAGTGTGTTGTATTGATCTGCGGTTTGATGAATGATTTTTATAATAGAGCAATAGACCGTTGTGTGTAGCTCAATATGAAAAATGTATCTATTCCATTATCGCCTATAATATAAGTATGTAAGGTATGTTTTGCAAAAACCAAACACATGTTTGAAGTAGAGCTTACAGTCACTTAAACCTTGGTCAGTGTTAGCTTATTTTTAACCTAATATTCTTTCGAAGTATTGGATTTAAGGGGCCGTATTCCAAGGTTCAACGATACCATCTTGATAAAACCCATATGTAAAAACATTTACTCCATCACGACCCTTAAATTCATATAGGCAATTTAGGAGTCTTTCCCATCCAAGTTACGGATATACCAGGTGTTCTTTTTATTTCCAATTTTTAGCACGTGATCATTTTATCATAGGAAAGTAACCTTGTGACCTTAAAGGTCTTTAAACAGGGTAAGACCATTACCGCACTTGATATTTTTATAATGGCGTAGATAACAAAGAAAATATCGCCTAGTCTGCTTTTCTAGTCCGTTGTGATATATTCAATTGTTTTTCTAAAGTCAGAAATAGCTTGTGAACTTTCTTATCAAATAACAATTTACAAATACGCCCACTGAGCACTATCCATCCAACACGATGAGACGCCTACAGCCGTAACGATATGACAGAAGATAAATATTTTAGTAAGAATCATTTCTAAAATAAGACCAAATAATGTGATCGATGTTACAGGTTCTAGAAAATCTAATAGTCTATAAGGATTGGCGAAATTTCACGTTACTGTACGTAAAAGGGCACAGTCTACTGCGCGTGGGGGATTTGCTGAAGATGGGCAACGATTCCTACCCATACGTGGTCACTTTGAGAGAACTGAGTGGCGATAATTACAGGTAAGTCAATTAGGGTACATCAAACATGTATTTGAAAGTATATTGTTACAATTATCTTATTGGAGCATCGCGATTGGCATTTGTTTTTTACTATTCCGATCTTAATAATCTAGAGGTACATGAGAATTTTTTAACCTATAACTGAATTGTATTTAGTAAATATTTTTGTATCCTAGAGCACAGACTGCCAATACTAAGCCCAACCATAATAAAAAATATGGTCCCAGATACTTTTTTTCTTTTATAATGAGTTAACAATTGAGTACTTTATAGTGTTATTCGTTTTGTATCGAACTATTCAAATAAATAAATAATTCATCAATGATTATGTATGCCAGAGAGCATGCAGATTCTAAAAAGCAACAATCATAAAGTACGCATATATTTGTGATAGGTAGACTTCACAAAGTACATAGAAAAACACGTACCCAAATAATGCTCAAGTATTCATGTCATACCGAAATGCATTCTTACCGTTTTATAGGAATGCATACACTTGGCTAGACATCGTTTGATTTGAAAGCATAAATCTCTTTGTAGTCTTCATCTGTGGGCGTCATTCTGCAAACAGGTTATGCTTTGAACGTGTATTTTCGCAAATAGGCGTCGCGTTTTGTATTAAACACCCACTGCTAAAAACTTAAAGGACATTCTTGACGTGGTACTCTATTTAATCCTCATGTACAGTTATAGAGAAACGTTAAAGTTTGTGTTTTTCCATCAATTAAATAAACGGATTATAAAATTTAAAAAATATACTTTATTTAATTCTTAGAAAACGATATTATAGATATTGTATAATATATGATAACGAGAGATATACGAGGATGTCGTACTTATTTATAGTGCAAGTCAACTTTTCGTTATTTTACAAGAGAACTTATCGTTGAATTGTAAATGTGAGATAAGTTTTTTTTTATATTTTGCCCTATATTTGTGTTTTTCCGTGTCGTAAGTGCGTTTACAAACATACAAATTCACTAGTTTGCAAGTAAATTTGCCAAAAAGCCCAGACCCTAAACAACAATTTGTGAGTCACACAAAGTATTGAAATTAAACCGAAGCGACGCACATATGGGCTGCATCTATTTTTAACTCCTATACTAATCAGAGCCCAAATTCACATACTGTATCATCAGTAGACTACCGACAGACTCACATAAAAATGATAGAAATAATGACAGCAATTCATGTTGTTTTTTTTTTAGGGAGGTACTAATAGACGCCAAACGCAACGGTTATACAAACTTTGTGGTTGACTGTCCTTCCCGGAACTTGGAACAGGTGTTGCTCCACGCTCAGCAAGTGGGCATGATGGCCGAGGAACATTCGTACATATTCCTTTCACCTGATATATTTACTTTGGATATGGATCGATATAGATATGGCGGAGTTAATATGACAGGTGAGTAATATTACACAAACTTTGTAGGTATAAAATAATGAACGAACATGTTCCCATAACCATCGCATAAAATATAGAATGGATTAAAAATTGAATTCGCTATAGTCCAGAATGTATAGATGGATCCACAATTTACACTGTCTTAAACTACAACGGAATTAATACTTCACTCCCTGCTGCAAGGAGCACTATTATCCAATATATTATTCAAGTGTTTCTTTCAGGTTTCCGTCTAGTAGCACTACAAAATAAAGACAATGAGAAACTTTGGAACTTTACAACGACGTTTAACCAGGAAACAGGGAAAGCGCTGGAGCCAGATCAATTTAAAACAACATTACTTTTAATACATGATGCCGTGGAAGTGATATCTGCGGCAATGAAAAAATTAAAAGATGTAAAGGCTGAGTTCTTGAGCTGTGCCAGTTACAAAGCTTGGAACTATGGATCCAGTCTCTTAAATTTTATGAAAACGGTACTTGTATTATATATTATGGCGCTTAATGCTTCACTTCAGTTTCTATTACCTAATTTCAGGTAAATTGAGTTTGTCTCGTTACAGAACAAGGTGGACGGATTAACGAGATCTCTAATATTTGATGGTTTAGGACAAAGAACGGATGTCACTTTTGATTTGTTAGAGCTTACTTCTGCTGGTAATCAGTCAGTAAGTGATTGTTACTAGTACTCTTGTGTCAAATAGTGGTTACCATTGAAGATATTAAATTTTTTCGTTTGCAGATTGGGATGTGGACGAACAATAAATTGAAAATCGACAGGCCAATCGTAGCTGATGCAGAAATAACACAGGAGGCGGCACTTAGAAACAAAACTTTAAAAGTCCTAATTGCGATAGTAAGTTGGAGTTTTAAAAGTGACATACAACGACTGTTCGAATATAATTTTACTTAAAAATGACCACCGTTATATATGCCACAAACTTAAATTCGCACGTTGTTTTTATAGGTACGTATTTATGACCGAAATTTTTATTCTTTCTAGGCTCCTCCATATGGCTACTTAAAACTATCACACGAGACATTGGAAGGCAATGATCGCTATGAAGGATTCACCATAGATTTAATTGATAAATTAAGTGAAATATTAGGATTCAGTTACGAATTTGAAGTTGAACAGGATTACGGTAACAAAAATGAACGTGGTGAATGGTCTGGAATGGTTTTACAGCTGAGAGAAGACGTGAGTAATAATCATTTTATAATTTTGACAACTTAATTATTTTATTTAAAGAGATTTATTTTAAGTGATTTATTGAAATGAAAAAAAAACGATACTTTTATGTGGATTTTGTATCTGAAACATGGTTGTCATCATATCTACTATTGCGTCAAATAGTTAAAACATTGGCAAAAAAATTCGATCGTGTTTGAATAAATAATCACTATTGTTTATCTGATTGCTTTGAAACGATTTATATTAATATTTTGACTATGAAAACTAGAGAACAACGTACTTATAGTTACTGGTTAACTTCAAATTGCGCAATACGTTCATAATTAACATAATATTTACATTGAACTAATCTCGTATTATTAATTCCCATACATGTGTGATAGCAAAGCTAGAAGTCTGGTATGTGCTGTTATTATTAATTCTCAGTAATGCCAGGTGAATGATATGTACATAGTTGCCACGGGTCGGTCAACTGTGCAATTATATAAATGACAGGCCGTTGCAAGCGGGCTAACCCATGACCTGTAAGTCACAGGTTATACTCCGATACGAAAAAAATAGACAAATTGTTTTATTAGGTCTGTGTGTGATGTGTGTATTAAATTAGTATGTTTGTAAACTATCAGAAAAAAATATTAAACGTTTTTATAAAAAAAAAACTTTTAAACATTTCTGCCTAATCCTTAGGTAAACAGATTTTATAAAACAAACTATTCTTGCGCGGATGCGCCCGCTGCTCGGATACTATAGACCATAGCGTGATGCTTTGTAGCCTATAGGGTTCCTCGATAAATGGATTAACGAACACAAAAAGAAATTGTTCAATTCGAACTAGTAGTTTCGGAAATTAGCGCGTTCAAACAAACCAACAATCTCTTCAGCATTTTAATTTTAGTATACAATTTTAGAAAATGTGTATCACTTGCGATGCTCATGATAAGAAACCTTATCTAATTAAATTTATTTCTCTATATGTTATAGAAAGCCGACCTTGCTATTTGTGATTTAACAATAACAGCTGAGAGACAAAGTGGTATCGATTTCTCGACCCCGTTCATGACGCTTGGTATCGGTATTCTGTACAAGGAGCCCAGTAAACAACCACCTGAGATGTTCTCCTTCATGGCTGTCTTTTCCAAAGAGGTATTTTATATTGTATTTTGTTTGGATTATGGTTTTTTATTTCCTTGTCAGTTGGTAGAGTACCTTAGTTAGTAGACTTACTATGTAGTAGTAGATAGGCACTTAAGTCACGTGTACCTTTTTTAATGTTTGTTTGTAAGAATTTGCAAGCAGCTGTATGACATGATCATCATGACAGAAAATCCAACAATGTTACTGATATGTTCCGTGACACATATTTTGATACATTTTCATAGTTCGAAAAATAAATGCAAAATATTAATAACATAAACTTAATAATACTTATAATATGGCAGGGGCCATAGTATTTCCATAGTTATCATATCCACCAGTCCATAGCAACCCATATCCATAACCCTATCAATTTTTACCACATTTCACAATAGTCCTGCATCAACCGGGGATTGTCCTTGGGTGCACTTATATAGTGCATACAGGGATAATTGCCGGCTGATGTCCCATCACATTTAGATTAAAACTGTTCAACGGGCCTCTGCGAGTTGGCTTCGGCTCCTCGTACGCCTTCCAAAGGTCCGGGTCCCGTGAAAGGAAAGAACAAACCTAACAATATTACTTATTAATACTAATTTAAGTGACCCTAAGTTGTCGTACGACTGAAGAAGAAATTCACTAATTAAAATTCCCCCTGCCTTCTGGATTCTGCTAGGTTGTTAAATAATGAGTACCATTTACGTTTTAATTTGCATATGTATAAATTTTTTCAACCTCAAAAAAGTAATGGAACAAATAGATCGCCAGTCAGTCCATTAGCTAAGCTTGATGCTACGAATGAGTTCTTTAAAATATCATCAACAATATAGTTTCCAATTTATGTTCTCAGGTCTGGTATTACATGATGCTCATCCAGCTGGCTTTGGGTGTGACAATGATCTTCGTCGGTCGTATCTCACATAAGGAGTGGCAGAACCCAGTGCCCTGCATAGAGTCTCCAGAGGAATTGAGCAATCAGTTCAGTTTCGCCAACTCCGTCTGGCTTATTATCGGTTCCGTCATGCAGCAGGGTTCTGAAATTGCTCCCATGTAAGTTTCTAATTTCTTTTTATGCATTATTTACATTAGGAACTTATTTAATGTGATAGGTCGTCAAATGAGCAGACGTAGGACCTGATGGTAGGCAATCAGCGCCGCCCATGGACACCCGCAACAACCGAGCAGTTTGTGCGTTGCCGACCTTTTGGTGATTTGAGATTTGGAGATTTACGGATTAGGGGAGGGGAAGGATTGGGTTTTCGGTAACTCCACCCATACGGCGAAACACAACGCTGTGATTGTTTCACGCCGGTTTTCTGTGAAAAGAATCAGTCTCCTATTAGAGGCGTGGAATTTATGACATCACTGCATGGTACAAAACAAAGTCGCTTCCCCCTGTCTGCCCCTATAGCCAGCTTAGATCTTTAAAACTACGTGACCGATTTTGATGGGCTTTTTAGTAAATGTAAATGATTCAAGAGGTGTGTAGGTATAATTTATGAAGTTTTGCGGACGAAGAACTACAAAAAGTTTGTTAGTATGTAACTAGATTAAATAAGTTATGCGTTTTATGCATTTAGGTACCTATAAAATATGTATACTGATGAACATGTTTTAATTACCATTTCGATGTAATATAACGAAAAATATATTTCCAATTTCCAGCGCATTAGCTCCACGCATGATCACCAGTGTGTGGTGGTTCTTCACAATGGTGATGGTAGCCTCATACGTCGGTACTTTGGTCGCTTTCCTTACCGTTGAAAAGAATGTCCTACCGTTCAATACGGTGGAAGAACTATACAACAGTAAATCCATATCTTACGGAGCCAAGAAAAAGGGATCCACTAAACAGTTCTTTGAGGCAAGTTGATATTTTAATCTCAATTATTAATTTCGTTGGTAATATTTTTTTTACATATTTATAGTAATATTAGCTACCGACCTCGGCTTTGCCCGCGTGGTATGTTGATGAAAAGCAGTCATCTATCTATATGCCAAATAGGTTTTTTATGCCATACATCGACAAACAAGCAGACGGATTACTTGATGGTCAACAATCAGCGCTCCCCTTTGGGGATTAGGGATTTGAAGATTTAGAGATTAGGGGAGTAGAAGGATTGGGACTCCGGTAACCTCACTCACATGGCGAAACACAACGCTGTGGTGGTTTCACGCCGGTTTTCTGTGACGCCGAACGCATGTCTCTCCCACACTTAAGGTCCAATCGTTTGTGCGTTAAAGAATAACAAGCATACACCCATACAGTCTCACAAAGTTTCAAATTTTATAATATTTTAATTTCGTGTAGGAATCCACCAATCCAATTTATCAGGCGATGTACAAGAAAATGGTGCAACACAGTTGGCTTGTCGACCAAAACGACATAGGAGTAAATTTGTAAGTTATTTTAAATTACTCATTTCTTTGTTTGGGGAAAATGTAATGAAACATTTTTATATGCAATGTACGTAATAATGTTGACATCCCTAGGGCTGAGACCTCACAGTACGCATTTTTTATGGAATCGACATCCCTAGAATATTATAAAGAAAGACATTGTGATTTGCTGCAAGTTGGAGGTTTGCTCGATTCTAAAAGTTACGGCATTGGAATGAAAAAAAGTAAGACTTTTCATATACATTTTTGAATCTATACTCTTTAATCAATAAGGTTGAAATTAACACCTAGTTTCATTTTGCAGAATCACCATTCAAGAAATATATTGACGACGCATTGCTTCACCTGAAAGAGAACGGTGAAATAGAAAAAATAAGGAATGTTTGGTGGAAGGAAAAGAGAGGTGGAGGAAAATGTGGGGTAAGTGGTCTAACATTTTAGTTGACCTGAAATGGTAGATGAAGACTAATGACGTCTTATTTGATTTGTAAATTGGTAAATGTAAGAATCATATCCTAATTTTATTATTAGGTGCTAAACCTACTTGTGTGGCCGTAAACATAACATTAGAAATTTACATACATAAAACATTCAATGTACTACCTACTTTATTTTGTGGTACCGAGAATTTTCGAAAAAAAGCCAAAAGGATCTAGTATCAGTCTTCAAGAATCACAATTGAAGTACCTCGCTCGGCAATCTAGTCATTTTTATGAAAATTTCGATTCATTAAATAATTTTAATTTCAATTTGATGTAAATGGCTTACAGGAGAAACGCGACGAAGACCAGAAACAGTTGGGTATGAAGAATATGTTGGGAGCTTTCGTTGTGCTCGGTGTGGGCTGCCTTATAGGGCTCTTTATATCAATCGTAGATATGTTGTGGGGAGTGTTCAAGAGATCTGTTAAATACAGCGTAAGTATTAAATATTCGCCTATTTCGATTAGTCTTGTCAGCATTCAGACTACTAGTACAACAGCTTATCGATTTGATAAACTGTAGAACTCGTACTGTGCAACTACGATTATTAAGACACCACTGATACACGGTGACTAGTATCTGCAAAGGTACAATTTTGTTTGAATCACTTTATAGTATAAGAAACAAAGACGCTTTCTCGGGTCCTATATTTCTTTGCATGCTTAAATGTTTACAACTACGCGATAGATTATAATACTGTTTTTTTAATAGAGAGAATGATTGAAATGGAAGTTTTATACGTATAATAATAACCATTAAATAGAAGAGACAATAATTAGTATCAGCATTATACCCATGCAAAGCCGAGCGGGTCGCTTGTCTATAACAAATTCGCGTGTTTTCATAACAAGTAACTTTTAATAATATAATTTAACGAAGGGTTAAAAACGTCAATTTTTCGAGAGTTCTGGAAATAAAATGCAAATTGAACTTTTTGCTGTTCGTAGCGAAAATAAAAATGGCTATTCAAGTTTATATCCCACATAAAAAGGTGCTTAGTGAAAAGAAGCGACCTACTTGTCAGTTACTGTAACATGTTAGTAGGTACCTAGTATTCAAACGTGACTATGAAAAATGTTAAGATCTAAACAACGAGTTGCAAAAACCTACTATCTACTTATTTAGCTTATCATGTGCAACATACTAGTGACATCAGAAAGTAATTTTTTTCTTATATGAAACTATGAGTTCTTAAAATGATAATATTATTATATTCGTATCAATCTCACCTTTAATTGCTATCAATGTAGTTGACTTTATTAAACATAAAAACATGCATTCATCGGCTCACGTCCATTTTAAAAACAAATTCAATCAAATTAACAAATCAGAATCTATTTGTGAGAATCACTCTCTTATAAATATAATAAGTTTTAGAAAAATCTTATACTGGTAACTAAGAGACGTTTCGTTTCTAGGACATTATTAGTGCACAAGTGTTAGCTACGTCACTTGATTAAACTGAAGTGTCTCCTACAAACCTAACCACCCTAGCAGCAGCTTGATGGTGTGCGCTGTGCTAATTGTTGTGTTCTAGTAAATTGCTGACTCATGCTGCCATAATAGTGTAACTACGAAACTGTTATTGCTAAAAATTCAAACAAATGTAACAATGTATGTGTAAATGTAGCAGGTGGATGAAATTAGACTTTTAATAACTCTTTAAGAAAAATGACTTCGGTTATAGTGAGTTTGATTTAACAAGAGTCGAATATCGTGATTTTATGTACGTAATGAAGTATGTTTTAGAAATCGAAGAATAAAGTACCTACAATTACGAATCATAGAAAAACATAGGTAAAGATAAGAAAAAGGTACTCGCTAAAACCAATAAACGCTATAAAACTGTCTAAAGATCGAAAAAACAATCGCGAAATTTTTCATCGACTGTGTGATTGGTATCTACATCCAACGATGAGACGAGTTACATAATTATGAAATGAATTCGCGCGAGTTCCATTTTTTTGTGTGGAACCTCCTATAAAATTTCTTTAAATGAAGTTCAACTCCAGCGAAACAAACGACGTTGAAACCTATATTGTTCTTGAATTTATTTCAGACGACCTTCAAGTACGAGTTAGTGGAGGAATTAAAGTTCGCTCTTAAGTTTAGTGGTAATATTAAGCCAGTGAAGAGGCCACAAAAGTCGCCTGTGGATGGAAGTTTTGAGGCGCTTGCGAAGGCTGAAGGGAAGGATGAAATACGTTCTCTTCATTCAATAAGGTCTACTGATACTCGTCGTACGCAACATTCACACAGTTCCAGACATTCTTCCCGCAGTCTCAGTGTCGCCTTTGCCAAACGACGATCTTATAGCTAAATTAATATTAATGTAAACGCATTTATAGATTCAATTCAAATGCCGAAAAGATCTGCCTAATTGATGATATCTATATTGATATACCTTTATCTGCTAGTCAGTTTATTTTTGTAATTTTATGCAAATTATTTATTGCAAGTAAATGTTGACTTATTGTTGTCTTGAAGTATATAATTCAAGTCAAAACTTTAATTTATTAAAAGTAGGAAACCACAGAGTATCAATAATATATTTTGTTAAAATGAAATAAATGTTGTATTAAAAAACACGTTCCTTTTTTCGTTTGGCACACGAGAGTGCTATCAAATATCTCTTTCAGCTACTTAACGACTTGTTTTCCCCACACATTATGTCATAACCTTATGGGATTATTTATTACGATTGTCGAGTGAGACAAAAAATAGTCCTCGTACAATGTGCCCATTACGCAGATCTACGTATGGTACAATGACCTCTATCTAATGGCAACCGTTTGAGATTAGTAGTCTAGTTTATTTCGGAACCCGTTATGTCACGTGGCAAATTATTGTTTACAAATTCTTTCTATGACTCAGATCCTAAGAGAGCCAGATTTTTAAGGGGTAGGGGTTTTTTTGAGTAGACGGAATACCTGATGATAAGCAATCGTCGCGCCCATGAACATTCGTAACACCAAAGTAGTTACTATACGTGCGTTGCCGGCCTCTTGAGGATTGAGCCTCCGGTAAACTCACTCACAAGGCGTAACACGACGTAAGTGCTGTTTTACTATGAGGCCGTTGTATCAATCCGATTCGTGGTTTCACTTAGAGTCGAGTCAGCCCATTTGTGACGAAGCTTAGCTCTCACACTCAACGGGTAGTTACGATTAACTTAGGTTTGATGGAACCAAGCTAAATTGTTTGGCTTACTGATAAGAGTACTCGTATACACATGTTGTTCAATCAAGTATCACTAACGATAATCCTTTCCTAAAATACTCCAACAACTGAAGTACTCGGCTGAAGATTCGATTGTTTTTCCTGACAGCTATGGGTAGCTTTTACATCCGGTAATTGATTTTTATTGACACGTTTTGCATTTATATACGAAAAGTTCACATAGCAAACAAAATTGAATAGGGTACATAGGCAACGTTATTGAATAGTATTAGCTAAAGAAAACGATTGCAAGATCGCATTTCCTGAACAAAAACAGTATCCTATTTTAAGTATCAAAATTCAAAATTCAAAGACAAGCTTAGCTTAGCGATCTTTTATTTTATTTTGATAAACCAATGTCATAGCAAAATTTTCTTAATAATTCCTTCTTTGAAGACTATTTTCCTCTATAGATATATAGTTTTGATACACAAGGTCATTATTTCAGTGTCCGCTGCGAAATGGATACCGACCTCTATGACCACAATCTTTCTCTGCGGTTCCATTAGCCTAACAAATTGCCCGACACTAACTTATAACTTTACACGCGGTTACTATGCTCTACATTAATTTATTATAACAAGACATGTTCTTGTTTAACACTAGTCTTGTTCCCGCGATGCTGCTCCTGATAAAACCGTGTTTTTCAATCCCGATTTGTAGTAGGTACATATTCTTTCAGCTGCCAAGAGTTAGTGATAACTTAGTAACGAAAGTGCTACTGCGGTGTTAATATTTTTCTTAAATACGGAAACATTATTCGCTGTCATACTTCAATGCGATTATAGCTGTTTTTTGATAAATATACTCAGTCATTCATGGTCGATTTTCGTACGGTCTAGATGAAGAAATTTATTTTAATGCAATTTTATTTTAAAGCTCTGAAAAGTTTCATTAACAATCTATAAAACATAAGTATGCGGTATATACCTATAGACATTACCTAAAAGTTGTAGTATGTATACAAACTAATAAAAGAAGGTTTCTTAATCTTTGCTTTCCTTCCCCCAGCGTAGTTGTCAACAGTGAAGTCGTGAAAAATATGTAGTGACCCCGACCAGAGACAGCTCCTCAATCAGGTTCTTTCATTACCGTACCCTCCTCACTCGCGACATTTGCAAGGACGAATACCTCGCATTTCTCAAATCATGTACTAATTAACAACTTGACGTAGCACGGACTAGTTTCTGGGGAAACTTGGTGGTAAAAAGATAAGAAAGAATATATTGGAAACAAAATTTATAACAGTAACATATTCAGAAAGGAACTCAGTTATATTAAAATAAGATAAATACGAATTTTAATAGCTATTTATTATTATAAAATATTAAATACGCGTGTATGTATGTAACGTGTATGCGTGTAACGCATTCGAATTGGTTTTGCAGGATAACACAATTGGTGAAAGCGGATAAAACAATTACAAATATTCTACTACCTTAAATTAAATATAAATACTTCGTCATAAATACATTTTGCTATTCACAATTGAACGTAGTCATATCTGACACAATTGTAGTGGGACGTATAATAATTAGACTGCTATCTATTTAATTAAATCAACCTACACGTCTGATGATTTATTCTACTGTAATATTAATTCGTTTATAGTTTAAAACTTTCTCAAGCATATCAAAAATCTATGACTAGACTAATTTATTCCACTTCGTATACTATATTTTCTCATCTTTGCCATTTGAACGGCATTACTCTGACGTCTGCTATGCAGTGTATGTCGAGAATGGCCTGATCTCTCAGAGCGTGGAGTCGGTGATGGATCTGGCAGACCTTCGCTATCCGGAGTTTCTGGATCTCCATCACACTTCTCTTCAGTTTTCTTTGATCCGCCTGAACCGCTGCCTGTGGATTCTCGGTGGCGAACTGGTTTCGTGTCTCCGCTAAAGCTCAGAATGAACTTCATTTCAGCGAGCAATTCTTCTCTGAATGATATCTGTAATATGTATTTAATCATTTTACCATATGTGGGACTTCCTTTGGCCATGTTAGTTAATATTCACAATAAATAGAAAATATAGGTTATAAAATGTCTACTGGGTACTTATATCACTGAATGGGTTATACGTTACGTACAAGGTAGGAAGGTACCATACTTACGAATGGAAATTATAAGATCTATGGCGAATAACACGAAGCGACTATACAATACTGATGAGGGGTCACACTGGAACATGCAATTCTGGTAAAAGGAAAAAACAAGATTTCAAAATCAGAAACACATTATTTACACGATGATTGTAATCAAAGATGGCTCGAAAAGTAGGGAAGATAGAAATCTTAACTGATTTAGTCCATTCACGCACGAAACGCGTCGTAGGCGTATCGTATTATGCGCGTAGGACGAGAGAAAAAACAAATTGTCGAAAGAAAAACAAATCACGGTGGGCGAAAATTGCTTATAACGATACGCTCACGAGACGAACTCGTGTGCGAAGGGGTTGAGGTTTTTTTTTTCTTAAACTGATTGCTATTTATCTTCGTGACCTGTGGTTAAAGAGCAAGCCGAGGCATGTAACGTCACATCGTATAGTTGAGGGTAATGTATATTAATGACACGTAGTACCTTCATCTTGCGGGATATCATCCATACGTCGAACGCCATTTCAACAAAGGCGCAGATGACAGCCATGCAGGAGCCGACCGCGAGCACAATGAACACTCCGCCCACGTTCGCTAACACTAAGGGTTGAGCCTCACCGCCGCCCGCGTCGTCATCCTAATCGATACTTTGTTAATGGTTCAAGAAATTCGCTAACATTACTCTCGTCTTCCTTGACAAAAGCTTTAACTTCTTTATCAGTTTAATATATTATTTTCTAGTAAATACAATAATTGTTCAAACCATCTTTTCTACAAAAACTTAGTCTATTTCAAAAGAATAAAATAAATATGTATTTTAATTAACTCGAGAGTTAGCACGTACCGCACAAGCACCACCTCCTCGCTTTTCTTTCCACCATTTATCTTTCAGTCTCGTTAATTTTCCTTCTTCTTGCAGCTGGAGTATAGATTCGCTCATAGGTTGGCGATAAGGTGAATCTGAATAAAAATAAACAATAAAATAAGGCGATGGTACACTGGAGAATTTACTTGTTTTGAGTATTTTTGTATCGTGGTGGCCCGGAAGTTAAGGAGCCTGCTTCTCATACATGAGGTTCGAAACCTGGCAAGAACCAATGTGACTTATTCCGAGTTATATGTACTTTCTATGATTATTTAGACACCACTGACATACGGTGAAGGTAAACATCGTGAGGAAACCTGGACTTAATTATAATTTCTAATTATAAGTTTGAAATCGCCAACCCCCATTGAGGAAGCGTGGTGATCAATGCTCAAACCTTCTCCGTATGAGAAGAGGCCTTTGCTCAGCAGTGGGCACTTATAAAACAATGATGAGTATTTTTGAAAATGTTATACATAAAAATGACTTTAGCGAACTTTCTATCAAGTACTCTGACGCACATTACTTTGGCTCAGCTCGTTCGTCGTTCGTCTTTAAGCTCAATATTCTGTAATAAGTGAATGCTCACGTCTCTATCAACATCTTAAAGGTATTTTGTACTTATATTGTGTTTTAATTCAAAAGTCTGTTTAATTACAATGTTTTCTTACTTTTTTTCATAGCTATCCCATACCCCTTACTGTCCAGTAGTCCACCAACTTGAGCTACATCGCAGTTTCTCTCGACCATGTATTCAATAGATGTCGATTCCATTAAGAATGCGTAGTTTTCGGAGTCTGATTTAACTCTAAAAAATAAACACAATGAAAAATTTAATTCATTACATTTATCAGATTTGGGCTAAAACGTACTACTAAAATGTTTCAAAGTCACTTATATTCATGTTTCGAATATATAAGTGGGTTATAAATATCTATTTTAAAATGCATAATGGAATCTCACCTTTCTAATCCTTCATCATTGGTAGCAGTTTGATATTCAGGATGGTCTTCCATATATCGATACATTTTTTGATACAGTAAATTATCCGATTCCTAAACATAGAACAAATTGAAAATAGATTGGTATTGGAATAAATAGATAATCAAATTTTTCATGCATGAGCATATTATTTATTTATTCATTGAACATTTAAATTACCTTGAAGAAACTGAAAGTAGCACCTCCTTTTTTT